TGGATCCTCCTTGACCAATCATGACAGCTTCATTGAAGTTCTCAGTTGCTTTTTCTAAAGTTGAACTTGAATATTTGATATGCAAGCTCCTCTTTTAGATATCTGAGTCGAACTCCACTCCTTTTGAAGATCATAATTCCATAGCCATCAGTATAAACATTACAGTTTTGACAATCATGGAATTTCATGGCCTTAACAGAGGATGGGTTTTTTCCTCAAAAAGCTGCGAAGAATCACAAAACAAAAACATAGAAAAAAAAAAAAAAAAAACTAAAACTATTACTCTTTTGTTCGTTTTGGTGGTTGAGTAGCCTCTGGTAAATAGTTGCACCCATCAAATATCCCACCAAAATTGCCAATAAGCATACTCCAACAGTGCCAAGAGCTACTGAAAGATACAAAAATATAGCATCTGCAAAGAGAAGACGATTTACATCACTTGGAATTTTCAACTGTGAATTGTGAACTTCGAGTACATGTTTGGCCACGGTGATCTCTAGGACTAAACGGCAGAATAAATATTATTTTAGCTTATTTTCTTCTTGATCATTATCCAACACTAGAATTATATTGAAGACCCCAGAGCTTCGTTCTGTGGCAATATGAATCTAAAGCTGATTATTAACAGAGTTCTTGAAAAACAAAAGCCATTTCTTCGAGTAAATCGAGCAAAACTAACCTCTATTCGTGGATGAACCAGGCTTGTTAACAAATTCAGAATCGTGCAACAAACAACCAACAGGAAGAGTAAGATTTCTTCACTTGCCTTATCTACGCATTTAGTACACAATTTCTGATCCATAGTTCTCCAGCAATTGGCAATACCATAGGCGTAGAGACTACTTGATGTTGCCCGCCCTTCTGCATAGCCTCGATTTTCTGGTGCAGCCTTCGTCAATTCCTTGATCAATTGTTTGACGAGAGGATCAAAATTGTTGCCCTGAACGTTCTGCGCATCGCTGCATCTCTTCTTCTTTTTTTTTTTTTTCCACATAATTTGCAAAGAATTTTCAAAGAAACAAATAAATAAATCTAAACTTCAATAATATCAAACCAATATTTGATCTTGAGAAGCCATTGCCTTGACTATATATCTCTTAGAGATTGAGCAACAACAATATGTATCTGCATACATAAAATTTGTACTGATCTTGCAACAAGAAAAAAAATAAAAAAAATCTTATTCCGTTCTTTCACTTATTGGCTTTAAAATTAAGATATACATGTCCCTCTCTAGCACCTTAAGCAAATTAGAGCCGGACAAAAGACCAAAATTCCAATCTCGTCACCACCCATTTTTGAAAATTGTTCACACGTCAAACCTTTGATGAGAAGATGAACTTGATTAACATGTGAAGGGGCTGTTGGAATATTAAACTCATCTCACCAGTTCAACATGCAAAACACCAGCTCACCTTCACGTTCTTCAGTCCACCAGCCACCAGCAAACCAGAAACTCAGCACATGAATACTATTCTAGATCCTTCATTAGTTAGTTTGTTTGTTAGCTAATTTCCTCTATATATAGACTAGTTGCATTGTAATTTCCTTAAGCAAGTATGAATGAAATGTTCAACTTCTTCCCTGCCTTACTACAGCAGGCTCTATCCCTTTTCTTTCTCTGTTATTTTCGTTCTTTATTTTCAGCTGCAATTTCATATCATTTTCCTTGATTTCATCATGGTATCAGAGCAGGTTCTAATCCTTCCATCTGAAATTCTGATTCTTCTTCTCTATCTTTTCNGATTCTTCTTCTCTATCTTTTCAAAATTGAATCTATCAAAAAAATTCCAAAAATTTAATCAGCCACCTTAAAAAAAAAAAAAAAAATTCTCAAATCTGATTATGTGAATTGAAAAGCTTCAGTCAGATATTCAATCCTGGTTCTATCAAGATTTAGCAACCCCTGTATCTTCTCGAAGATCCACTGGAAAATCCACAACTTCAGCGAAGTAATGAGTTGAGGAACGCAAGCAAAATCCACCTCAATTAACTTTGTCCGGAAGGTAAAATAATGCACTGGAACTACTGATTATGCTTGTCTGATTGTTGCCGGCTCAGAAGAGACTTCAATTTGTTAAACAAAACAGGATAGTGAATTTGTTCACTAGATGCTCGACGAAATNGAATCAAGTTAAAGCTGAGTTCAAGTCTTCAAGATTGTCGTATTTGCAACTCCCAGCATAGTATACTAGTTCAGGAATCATTTTTGAAATGATTTGCATCCACTTCATTCAATACTTAAGTCCTTGCCCTATATGAGCAATATTTATTTTGTGCCCTGTGATCTTGAAAGAAAAAATTTCCACAAAATATCATACGAGGCGACGCTACGAGGCATAGAATATACAGGAATCCACTGATGCAGAAGAATAATGTGATTGAGAGGAATCCAATACGTATGAATCGATCAAGGATTCCTCTGTGAAGGGGGGTTTTGATGGAACTGGCAATACTAAATCCTTTTGTGTCAACAGTTCAAGTACTCGGGTCATTGTGGGACGCATTGTACGATGGATTTCGTGTATTAAAATATTGAAATTGTTACAAATTGTATTTTTGAGAAATATAAATGTATATGAATCTTCTTGTAATTGCAAAATCCTTTGATTAATGATTTGATTATTTGAAGACGAGGAGCCACATGGTTTGAATCTTAGGCTTCAAGATTTGTTGAGAATTTGATTTGTCGAGAACTTGACTTGTTTGACACTTGAATTTCGGAGTTTGGATTTGTACTTCGAAACTTGGGCTTGAACTTGATTTAATTCGAAATTTTTTTTGATCTTTGCTTGATTTGAAGAAAATTTTGATTTTCTTCGTGTTCGCCATACTTGAAGTTGAAAGGATTTCTTCTTTTCCTTCAATTTTGGGATTTCTTCAACACTTTGTAATTTTCTTCTTCACTTTCACCTCCCCCTTCTTATGACCTTTGGCCCTATTTATAGGGAAAATTCGTGACCAATTTTGATAACCACACAATTAATTTAATTAGAATGATTATAATTGAATAATTGTGGACTTTGAAAGAGTGGGATGTGCCTTTAAAATTTTATGGGTCTTGGGTACACAGCAAAGCAATCTGAAACACTCTTAGGACTTCATTAGCATTTTCATTTCCTATGCTTGAATATATTATTTGAGTAACTGTATTTCTTTTAAAATGCTTCCATATCTGCAAGTTGAAGGAAAAAAAAGGATCAAATTATATTAACCAAACTTGTTTCAAATGGTAAAAGTCGAGGAGAGAAGTATATAGTAAGAGATGTATGAAAGTTTACAAATTGTGACTAGTGTGTCCAGAGAATCCTCGGACTGAAATTTGTTATTCTGCACCCCACTGATAATTTCAAGTACAAGAATGCCATAACTATAAACATCTGCTTTATCAGTCAATCGTCCTTGAGCAAGGTATTCAGGAGCCATGTATCCACTGCAATTCAAATATTATTTAGTGAAAAATAAACCCGAGCTTTTCCTATCAAGGAGACAATAGGCTCTGAATTTTCTCAAGGATAAGAAATACACGAAGTTGATTGCATAAATACTTACAATGTGCCAGACTGCCAGCAATGGCAGAACTGGAAATAGCTTTATCGTTTGAATTCAACCTTGCAAGGCCAAAATCTGGGATTTTGGGTCTATATTTCATGTCTATCAAGATGTTACTTGCTTTGATGTCTCTATGAATGATTTGGATCTGGCAATCTTTATGAAGCTATTCCAGACCTTCGGCTGCTCCTATGATTGTTACAAGCCTTTTTTTCCAAGTTAATTCCCTTTTCTTCTCTCGATCTTCCTTTCACGCGCATCATAAAGAAGAGATAGACAATTCAAAGCAAAGGCGATCATGAAATCTTGAGTAATCAGTACACAGTCTAATT